CCTGGAACTGGAGGTCAGTCACTCTGGATCCCACTTCTGACACCATGTAATGTAGATTAAAAAAAGGCAAAACCATAAAATAAATAGTTGTGTTTATTTGGTGTCTTATGGGACCATATATTTAGGAGGAAACCCAAATGTATGCTCCAAAGAGGGGAAAGGGCTTAAAGTTTTTAAAGCAAAAAGAACTCCAAGGGGGTTTACAAAAATTGTTTTGAAAGAATTATGATAGGCTAAAGCTATTGTAACTATGTTTATCTACACATACTTGTCTGAAAAGGTGACTCAGCAGAAATCTACTCTGCTGTAGGCATAGGTGTTCATCCAGGATGTTTATGGTTTGACAGAATGCAAAGCTTAAAGCTCTTACCAAGAATGGTCAGTTTCAGAGAAGAAGATGTGCAGAGACCCCATTTCTTTAATCTCCCCCTAAACTGACTCTATTTTAGTTTACTTAATTATCAATGTTAACTCCATTTTGTACAACATGTATTTTCCATTTCACTAATTTTCTGATCACTTGTGTATAGTATCTGATCCAAGTCATAAATTTTAATGATTATATTTTCATTTCTAAACATTCATTTGGCTCTTTTGTAAATCACATCCATCTCTGTGAATAGTACCTGACTGTTTTCTCATGTTTCAATTGCAGTGTTTCTTTTTTTTCAAAGGGCTCATATACTATTTCATCTTGTTTTTTCATATGTCATATCTCTTTGTGATTTCTTCTCCTCCCATTTCTCTCCTCTAGTGCTGTGTAACTGTGTTATGAGTACTGCATATTGTGAGCTGCTGTCATCCATGGGAATCCTGTGCCGCCTGCACGAAAAGCAAGGGCAGGCCTCCAGTAAGAATTTTATGTAATTCTACGATGAGTGAACCACCCAATGACAAAACAAACAAACCATCCCAATGTATCTATACTCTTGAGATGGTGACAGCTGGATAAAATTCAATTTCTGTATCTCAAAAGTGCAGAAGGCCAGGGAAATGCCTTGTGGGACAATGGATAGGCCTCTCTGGACTGTGGTGCAAATCTGACATGGCTTCACGGACACACTGACTTAATTCAAAGACAGTCTGAATCATGTAAACTTC